ATAAACTCATTTGAAAAGTTTTTATTACTAGGCCCGTCACTATAATAAGGATCACAGTGTAAGTAAGTGAAAGCTAACAAGCTGATAAACTGATAAAAAACGAAAAATCAGTAAAAGAAAAAAAACTAACTGAAAGTTAAAAATTTATAAAAAAACAAGACTAATGAAAGGTAAGGGAACTATCACTTATTACATAATTATAGCCCCTCCAGAGTCAGTCATTTGACAATTACAAGTTCTAAAGTAATCAATTGTTTGACAAGTAAGCTCTAAAATAACCAATTGTATAGAGTTTATATTATGATAACTTTAGAACTTGTAATTGTCAAATAATTGACTCTGGAGGGGGGCTATAATTACATAATAAGTGATAGCTCCCTAACGGAACCATTTATTTGACAATTCAAGGAATGATTTTTTTTCTTTACTATGAGTATAGAATAAGTTTATACGTATGATTGATATCAAAAGAAAAATTGTAATTATAATTTACTGAGTATTAATTTTTTGGAAGGTTGAATTCGGTACTTAAAGGCTGATTTCCTTTTTAACATATATTTAAGTGTCAAGAAAAAGCTAAAATTCGGACTTTTAACGATCATTTAATTAAATTTAATTGCCATTTAGATCTTTCAGTAAAAAGTGCTAACCGAAAAGTATGTGTTATTGTTAAATCAATAACTACGATAGAAAACTTGGCAATTAGATTTTAAGGCTTGATGTCTGATTTTCTCTTAATAACTTATACAGTATGAAAAGTGGTATTTTGTCATTAAACATGATAATAGTAATACAGCTTATACTGTATTAAAATGATTTTGATTAGCTATAATTTAGTCTTAACTTTTTTAGTTTTCATCTTTTTATTGGGATTTTGATTTTAGCTTTTTCTTTCATCAGGATTTTAGGTTTAGGCTACTCCAAATTGATTCTCTGTTTAATATAACATAAATACTTTGCAAGAGAGGGGGGAGGGTAAAAAATCAACAACAACCCTAAAAAAAACAGCAATTCTATTGGCTGAACAAAATATAAAAATTTTTAAAATCCAATACTGCAATTTGATTGGTTAAACTTGTGTTTATTTTATGTCTAAATTTTAAAAAATAGAGGGGTTATGTTAAACATAAAATCAAATTGGCATGGCCTTATCAAAGTGCCAGTTTAAATTCATCTTTCACCATCACGCAGATAAAATGTATTTCAGTATACTGTAATAAATTAAAAATAGTTCTTCATCATAATTATCGACTGCCTCATAGGGATAGCAAATGTTTTAAACCACGATCTTAAAAATCATGATTGTTTATTTAAATCTTTTGAAAAATAGGTTAATACATTGAGGGTTTCAGAGTTAACGTATTTTGAAAATAAATAGGAGTTTGAAAAATCCTATTTTTGTTTGAAATTTCGAAATCTAGAAATCAGAAAATGAAAAAGGAGTTATCCGGAGATAAAATAAACTTTTTTTTGATGATGTATTATATCTTATTATATAAATAGGCTTGCAAATAAAAATGAATAATATTTATAGATCGCTGATTACAAAATTAATACTGTTCCCCACCAATTTAATTCGAAATCAGAAACCTGAACCTTAGGTCTGAAACCCTCCATTTGACGCAATTAAGATCCGATTGCGTAATTAAATGTATAATATTTATTTTTATTATTACTAAATAAAAGTAAAATAAAATCGAATAAAAAAGAATGTCTCATGTTCGTGGAAGACCCCGTTAAAAGTAATCCGTTTAAACTTTGCAAAGGTTGCTGAACTTGATAAACATGATTGAACAACACCTCGCCGAAAATGTAATTATTGTGTTGATTTAGTTGACCGACTAAAAAGTCATTATTAAAATGTAAAAAAACTTCCAAGAAATATAAAAGATTTATTAAAAGCTCAGAATCAGGGTTCTGGTTCTTCAAATAATTCATTCGCAAAAACTCATTCAATAAGGTTTACATAGTGGTAATTTTGAAAACTAATACTGTTACGGGGTGAATCGTACGAAAATATAGGTTTTATATGATGTAAGGCAACTCGCCAGAGACGTGACGTTGGTGATTTGGTTCATATAATATAAGGGAATTATTATCGGATTAGTGATCCTTCCTCGCACATAGGTGTCGTAACCAACCTTATCTAAGTTACGTCCTTTATAGGACTAATGAGGCTTAAACAAAACTCACCTTAACGTTATTGTATAGTGGCTTAATTTCTATCGGCCGAGATCTGCTTATCACCGAAATAGAGATGTGAACCGTTTGCCGATCTTATAGTTTTTGGCCCGAATTACGGTTAATTATTTCCAAAAACAGTTAGGATTGACAAACTAAATTATAACCAGTTTATCGATGTCATTTTAGCCCATGACAATACAGAATGAAAGGTTGTGTTTGGCCGATAGGCAAATTTTGCATTTAAAAATTTATTAGCCTTGATAAAAATTAAACGTTCAAATATATTTCTTAATTTTTTTTTTTATGTAATACCTAATAAATTCGAAATTAACCAGCCTGAGGCAATATTTTCAGTTTAGCAAAATTTTAGCATCAGACTCTCTGTAAAAAAGTTTTAAAACAATAAAGGTTTAAAAAACATCCTTATTACCTCATCAAATTTTATCGAATCGACATATTAAACAAATAAGACACGAGTTGTCATTATTTGCTCCATTCTAAATAAATACAAAATTGTGTTGTGATGTAACATGCTTTTTTTTTAAACAAATCGAAAATCTGGGACAGGTTACGTTAACTTTTATTATATGATAAATAAAAAAAACTATTGAAAACTCAAATTAATTATATTCGACTAAAATGATCCATGCGACCCTCTATTAAGCGGGAATAATATTGCAGTAAAAATGTTATTGAAACTATTGAAACGCACTACGTTAGAAAAAAATTTATTTGCAATTATAGAAAAGCTCGCAATATACTAAATACTAATAGGAAAAAATTACTTCACTATCTTTATTACATACAAATGCTTATTAAATTTGTTATAGGATACAAATTTCACTTCAAGCAGCTTCTATATATAATGAATAAAAAGGAAATTGCCCAAAGGCAAAAAAAGTCATTTTTGACGACAGCTACTAACAAACTCGAAAAGAATACATGTACATAAAAAAAAAAAAAGACCTAAAAAATTATCAAGAAAATAATTTATATTTTGTATTTTTAGAGCAAATTATATTCCTATCTGTACAATACAAAAATTTTATTATTGTTAATATTTTAATATTTGAAACCTGGATACCGATACCGATATTGGGTTTAAATTCGGAGAGTAGTTCCAGTTTTTTAATAGCGACGTCTTAAATGATTCTAAAAATTTTAAATTATTAATATTAATCAACTAAAATAATCGGAATTTGCAAAGCGGGTGCCACACTGAAATTTTGTCGAACCTAATCAATAGAAATGCTATTTTTTTTTCCTGCTACACGTCTGATATATATTTTAAAGTCTGTTATTTTATTTAAAAAGCGATCGATAAAAGTTACTTTTCTTCTCCTTCTACACATATTGTAAATATTTTAAAGTCTATTATTCTATTTTAAAAGCGGTCGATATAAGTTTTTTTTTTGATTAATTTGTTAGTTATTTAGGAGTATTTGATTAAATATCGTTGGCCAAATTTATTAAAATGATTATTGAAGACAACTGACTAAGACGTTGGTAAACTACGTATTTCAATGCTTTTTTATACCAGTTTTTTTTATTCCAATCCTGAAATTTGTGCAACATGCAGTAACGCAGTTTCCCTTTGTAAGATTTATACTGAAATGCAAATACGGAGTCGCAATCCGATTGTTTATTGTTTTAAACCAGTCTTTCTGTTTACCAGAAATAGAAATCTTTATACTTCAACAGAAAAATTCCTTATTTACACAATCCTGAAGTCATGTCAAATAGATCATGTAAGCCATTATGATACAGTAATACCATTTTTAACATAATGCAATTTATTAACATAGTCAATTATAGCGTTATTGGTTGATTACTCAAAGGAGTTAGAAAAGTATTGTAAAGATTCGAATATAAAAAGTTTTGATTACTCGAAATTAGTAAGCTCGAAAAAATTGGACGCGGTGGGTTTGCAATCGTGTATTCGACCGTTTTCCTAGAAGAAAAGTATGCATTGAAAAGTCTGAACAATAACTTGTCGCTCGATTATGAGCAATTCAACCAATTCGTGCGTGAGGTAATGTGCTCATTATTTGGTATTTAAATTCTTAACATTCAATTTTACTGAATATGTATTACATATAATTTTATATATAGATTGAACTTTTATACGTATAAGACTGATAATCCTAATGTTATTAAATTTTATGGAATTTCAAGAGGTATGAACAATTTTTATAATTGAGTCATATTTGAATATTTGAATCATTAACTTGGTCCTTATTTTGCTCAATAACTCTAGATGCTTGTGTTACAATTTACCAATGGCGGTAACCTACGAGATTATTTAAAAACAAAACATGTTAATGATTATTATATAGTTTCATGGGTTGAACTCATCAAAATCGCAATGGATATTACTTTTGGATTGAAATATTTGCACGAAAATAAAATTATCCATCGAGATCTAGTAAATTTTGGTTTTTTTTTTTTAAATTCTCTATTTCTTATTAAATTATCATAACTAGATTTCTAAATCAACTATAAATTTTTTTAGTATTCCAAGAATATTTTGTTAGATAATGGTAAAGCTTTGATTGCAGACTTTGGAATATCAAAACGATTGGATGATACTGTGGCTACAAGCTCAGCTGTGATAGGCATACTAGTTTACATCGACCCACGGTGCCTCCCTGGAGAAAAACGTGTAAGGAATCCGATATTTATAGCCTAGGCGCACTATTTTGGGAACTTATAAACGGAATTCCACCCTGCTCTACAGACTTAGGAATACATAATTTTTTGAATAAGGAGAAATTTATTAACGCTACACTTTCAGATTATGCTGATATTTATATTAAATGCGTCCAACGCTAGATGAAATTTCAAAAAAGCTCGAAAATCTATCGGAGAATACAACTGATGAATTTGTTAAAAATTGCATTAATAAAAATAATCAGCAAACTGTGCAATCAATCCTAAATTATTCAGAACGATTAGATTCCTCTAATAATATAACCGAAAATATAACATGGATAAGCATCACGAAGGTAAGTCAAAGTGTTATGGACATTTTTATTTAGGCAATCAAGGTGAACCAAAACGACTATAATCTTGATAGAATATTTATATTTAACAGTCTGGTTATTTGCAATTTATTAAAAATTTTCTTTTTGATTAGGTAATAAAGATGGTTCAGAAAAATAATACGCATTCAAAAAACGACGCAATCGATGAATTGAGCGAACTTAATGAAACTACTTCGAATAATAATTTTGTAGCCTTAAATGAGGTCATGAATTTATTCACCCGATCGAGCAATGGTTCTGAAGAAGTAATACAAATGCCAACCAAAACTAGAGCTACTACCCGGGTCGGTTGACCCGTATGGGTCACGGGTCGAAAATTGCTCTAACCCGGGTCAAATGGGTCAGAATTTAAAGTAGTATATTACAGTACTATATAGGTAGAAGGCATTATAGTTACTAAATAGTAAAGATCTTACCCGGGTCAGGTCACGTATTTTCTGGTGTAGAAAATGGGCGAACTCAAATCACGAGCAAGATCGAAAAATTTTTTCAATACAAAATCCGAAAATTTCCAATTGTAGTACAGCTGTTCTCTATACTAACAGCTCTAATTAAGTATTGTTGCATCAATTTTAAGGATTAACTTCAAAAACTTTATGAATTTCCGTTTGACCAGTTGACCCGGTTTATAACCCGGGTCGGTATTTTCTGGGTAGGTTTTTATATGATGTGATTATAGAGGAGGTGATTATATAGAGGTGCGACTGTACTTTAAAGTATATAATATTATATAGATGTTTGGTATTTTATATGGATATTCGGTACTTTACAGTACCATCTGATGCTTGTAACTACCCTATACTCTAAATTAACATGGAACGGATACTCTATACATATATTAATCCGACCGGACCAGGCGCACCACTTAACATCTTTAATTTACTTGTAAGTATGGTATATTTCACTGGATTTTATATTCATTAATTAGCATTCGAAAAACATCTTAATACATCAAGAAAAAAAAAAAAAGAATACAGGTTTTAGACTATAAAAGCAGATAAATGAAATATCTGACTTCAAATTCAATCGTTTTGAATATTGATTTCATTACAACCATACTTGCACATATGGATACTTATGTCAGGTCGGTGCGTAAATAATCTAAATAATCAGTTAAGATCTTAAATTTACAGAACTTTGAATATAATTTACTGGTGCAGCTACCTTATTTAACTGATGGAAAGTCTCCAATTTCAATACTTAATTCATTTATAATCTTCTGACAATCCAAGCCAACGCACTCATATTTTTGCATTTCATCTCTATCCGCTGGAAGAAGTGCCCCCATATGTGCTATTTTCTTATGCAATTCTTGGAAGAACCAACACATTAGATTGTTGAATATAGTTTTATGATGCGGGAGGAAGACCCATTCAGGAAAATGTTCTTTTTTTGCAACACTCCATTTCACATAATATTTAATTTCTCCCCATTTACACCCAGTGTTATCATCAACTCGATGACATGGCCATGCGCGTAATTTTTTGCTAGTTATTTCATGTGTTCCTCTAAGACCTTGCGGCTGGTGGCACGTATGATGCAATTTTGTATCATCATTATTGTCTTCGTGTCCACGCGATCCCCAGCATAGAGCACCACACCAAAAGCATGAATGTGTACAGCCAAGTTTTTCCATTATTTCTTCGTATGCTGATGGCATGCAGAAGTCTTCAGGTTTTATTAAAATGCATTCTTTTCGCTTAGCTCTTAATATTTTCAGCATACTGTCACGAAACAAATCTATATCTATCTCATCCTCTTCAGATGCCTCTTCAATCGCCTTGAATTCAACACTTTCAGGTTCATCTAAGTATTTCTTAATAAAATTTAAAATTTCTGAAATAGTTGAATGAGTCTCAATTTCATTTATGACGTGACTAAATTCGTTTTCAAAGGTCTTGCTATATGCTGTTTGTGGAACATCAGGATAACATTTGTCGACTATTTCTTTAAACCAATATTCAATGCTATATTTCGGATTCGAAAAGTGATTAAGAGCATCGAAAAATTTGTAATTTTTAACTTTCTCAGCAAGCTGTTTAAAATATTTGATCCGTGCATGTGTGGTACTATTTAGCCAACTGATTGCAAGCACTAACCGTTTTCTTTCATCGTTAGCGCTTTTCACAGCCTTTTTCTTTATTTTATCGTGTAAATACTCTGCAGCAAAAGCACCATTAGAAGCAAATGAAAAGCCGTGCTGAAGCCGATAGATTATAAAAGTTCTATATGTATCTTTCCTTTTTTCAAGTATCATAAGCGGATTATTTTTCTCATCCCACTTATGTTGAGCCATTACCATTTCATCATAAAAGAGTTTTAAGGCATCCACGTGAACTGACCATTGAGCTTCTTTAAGCACGAAATACTTATTTTGGAAATCTTCAATTAGCGTGTTCACTTGGCTTTGAAGCTCCTTTACCATCCCACTCTCAAAGTGATCAGCGCTTTTCTCTTTCATTATTTTTTTAGGTAACCCTCGGAGTTTTTCACTAAGTACTTCTTTTATTTCCTGATATTTCGGTGTTTTGCTTAATTGGAGAGTTTTAAGAACGAATTTACCAATCTTCTTCAGCATTGTCTGTTTATTATCCGTACCTTGTTGATCAATATCATCAGTTTCATCAATCTCATCTATTAATTGTTGAAATTGTTGGCGAACAATTGATACATGCTTATATTCTTCTTCCACTTCTCTTGTAATTCGTGTTCTGATTGGTAATACGTTGTTTTTGTTGTTTGCAATTTTCAATAAATTATTCCAAATTTCTTCAAAAATGTTCATGCACTCTTTTTCATCAAATTGCTCAGATGGCCGCAATTTTTCTTTTAAACTCTTTATAATCTCAGTCATGAACTCTGTAGTACAACCAGTTTGAATGATACTAGCGTCAAGACTTTGAATGAGTTGTGCTTTTTTATCATGGCGTGTACGTTTAATGTACTGATTGATCGTCTTCTTTATTTTCGAAATATATGTCTAATTGACTTTGTAAATTTAACGCATTTTCACATTCTTGACAGTGTCCACCATCCAATCTTTTTAAACTTATTAGTACCCTCGCTAATTCTTCTTCAACGTCTTGCTTGCATTTTTCACGTACGTTACCTTTTACAGCTTGCATTTTGTTAAATCCATTTTCCTGTGACCAGGATGAAATTTTTGATCGAATAATCATCATGCACTCTTTGGCATGTGCACGAAAAGCTGCATTAACAGCCTCTTTTACTTTTGCAATTAATTCGGACCGTTCTAAAAACTCATACATTTCCTTGATGTTTTTAAATTGTGTAGCAAATTGCTCATTTTTAACAGACTCCCAATAACTTCTAGCGAGCGTATACCATTTCTTAAACGTTATTTTGTTATGCGGCTGTCTACAGGCGTCAAGTATGCTCTCATATAGCTTGGTCACGTCTTCATGGTACTGTTCTGACGGAGGAGCGTAAGGGCTTGCACCATTTTTGAATGGACGAAATTGTTTGAGAAAATCTCCTTTCTGAATTCTCATATTTATTTCTTTTAGGCAACTTGAATTTGTAATACCCATTTCGGTATCCTTATCGTCTGTAAAGTTTAGGGCATTTTGAAGAGCTTCACAAAATTGAATTTGTCCTGAAGCGGTTTTTTCTGTGTTTCTTTCAGTAAGGTGTTGTATCATAAATATATCAGGCACAATTTCAGCTTTTTCCAGGCGCGCCATTGCAACAATTGCAATTTGCAAGATTTCTGTCAAGAATATTGATAAGTGTTAAATTACTAATACCCATTACATATGTTGCTAGTAGCCTATCGCTCTGTGCTGCATGATCGTCATTTATCTTTTCAGGAGCACCAAGACCTTCCGTATCAATTAGAAGAATTGCATCCACTTTATTTTTATCGCGGAGTTTTTCATCCAAAAATAGTAACCTCATAAAAAGACCTCGAGTACAACGACCTACTGAGACTGCAAATTTGCAGGCAAAAAGGGCATTCAAAAGGGTGGACTTTCCAGACGATTGTAGGCCAAGTATTGATACAACGAAAATGCGTAAATTGGGAAATAATACATCGATCTCTTTGAAAATGGCGGATAACCAAATACCTGGCATTTCACCAGCATCACCGTCAATTAACTCAATAGCACGGTTATCAATAAACAGCTCAGTATAAAATTTGGGTAATCCTAAAATAATATTATTGTCTGGCTTTTTAAAAGAGATTTCATATATTTGCCCAAGTTCACGAAAGAAATGTTCCAAGCCTAAACTCACACTGTCAACTTGTTCTAAAGCATAGTTAATTCGATTCTTAATTCCTCGTATTTGGCCTTTATTTTTATTTGTTAGGTCAATTATACATTTAAGCTCTTCCTTTAATGATAAAACTTCTTTTCGAGCTTCTGATGACTCTTCTGCCGAAATTTTATAAAGATCTCGCTCCAAATGGGCCAAAGCTCTTCTCCTTTCTCTAATTGGTAAAGTCAAGACCCTTCCATAGTCCTCCATTAACCCTTTTAGTAAATCATCATATTGATCTTGGTTTGTAGCTTTAAATTGTTTTTGAAGCTTCATAATCTTTTTTGTTTCATGACAGGATCGACTTTTAATAAAGTTTATAACGCGTTGAGATTCAGGGCAGTCAATATTTTCTGCCAATTTTAACGGCATTTTGTAGGTGACCTTGCTAAGATCAAGGGTTGATAAATTAGAGTTAAGGGCTTCATTAAACATAGATCGCACTATTTCCAACGTATCGTCATTCGTCAACCGTTGAGTTTCAATAACATTACCTTCATCATATTTGGGATCTACCATAACATAGACAAGTTTTTCAAGGTCTAAAATTTTGTTCAATTGATCCCACTCTGACTTTCCAGCATTTGGCATAATGAAGACTAAAAAACTGGAAGCAATCTGATCTAGCCATTTAATATGTTCTTTATACTCTAATGCATCACCGTGCAAATTCGCTAGTAACACGATCTCTTGCATTTTTCTTGCGTAATAAGGTTCCATGACGTTCTTCCATAAACTGTCACTACAAGTTTCTTGAGTAAGCCATGTAAATTCTACACTTCCAGGAAGTGTATATGGTGGGCCTCGTGATGCACCAGGTTCGCCACTTGATGAAAACATGTGTTCAGTAGCCATTAATTGATTAAGGATTGTACTTTTCCCTGACGGAGAGTTTGTACCAAGTCGAAGGGCGACAAGCAGTCTGAATGGACTTACAAAAAGATGATTTTCAACGATCACACCAGATTTCACCTCCCACTTGATTATGGGACTAGTAAGGAGTGGAAGCATCACTTTAAATTCATTTTCCTGCTCAATGTCGGGCATTACTAGAGGTAGAGCCATTGGAAATTTAGCCATTATTCGTAAAATATCCTGAGCCACAGTACATTCTGCTGAACTGAGCAGGCTAATAATACAATCAAATCGAGACAATGGATTTTTATTATGTTCCGAAATATTTAATGGTGAAATGGTTGTTTTATCTAATACATTGCCAAAGTATAAATTCGATGTTTCGAAAAACGAGGGCTTTTTGGATTTTGCAGTAAATGAAGGCTCCCTCTTAGGTTTTTTAACTAGTCTTGAAATATTACTTGATGTAAGTGCATTGCATCCCCACATCTTAATCTTTTGGATAATGTAAGGTAATGCCTCATTTATACAGCCAACTAACTGTGTGTCAGAGATATTTGGAGGCTGATATATTTGGCATATTTTGGCATATTCTTTAGGCGTAATCACGACTATCGTTTCACCTATTGGCGGTTGATAGTTTTTGTGCACTTTCAATGTCTTGTCATCATATTCATGTTCAGATGGGACTTCTGAATAATGAGGAATATTAATATTTGGGATTTTTTGCATATCTGGCTGTTCGTCAGTCAAATTTCTTACTTTCCACTGGTTAAGTCGTTTAAGTGATGATCTAATTGTTTCTTGATCCCAAGCTTCAGTAAGCATTTTTTGTTCTGACTTCCAGTTTTTGTCAGTCAATACATTGGCAGACTTTAAAGACATCTCCAGAACATTGTGCTTTGAAATTGATCCTTCAAGTAGCGTTCGAAATTCTTCTGGTATTTCATCTCGATCTAATACCCATTCAAAGTATTTTATTGTATTATCGACGCTACACAATTCCTCCATCGAAAACTTTTCTCTTTCACAAAGTTCTCTCAAGTGTTCCTGGATATCCAGAGGTATGTAATCGGGATAAACTTTATCATTTAAATTCGGCAACAACAATGTAGCTAATGACATATTCAGATTCACACGTTGGACTAGATAGACAAACCTAGAATTTCGCCAGAGATGCTCTTTATGTTCATCTTTAAAATCTTCTCCCGATAACAACATCAAATAATGTTTAATGTTAATTTTGTCATTAATACTGTCTATTTTATATAATTTATCATGCAGTTTATATAATTGCGGACCATAATTCAATTTTGATAATAGAGAAATAGATTTTGGGTTCGATTTTAAATCAACAATTTCATCCCAACGGTCATTATAATATGGATATTCTCGCCTTGACAATCTGTTAATATAAATTGGAAGAATTTTATCTCTGAGAACCTTAGAAAATTCTATATCTCGCGATTGGGATATAGGTTTTAATAATGAAATCAAAGATAAAACGTGGAATGTTTCATTGTTAATTAATCCGACATATAGATCATCCAGTATTTTTGTGACTCCATCACATTGATTTTTAAAATTATTCTCTTTCCAACTATCAAATTTCTGTTTAATATCATCTGAACAATACTTATCATTTGAAACTAAATTAATGGCTTCCGTAAATTTTGATTTAGCATTCTCATCATCTATATTTACTTGTTCAATGACTGCTTTTGCAGCCACGACTTTAGCCAAAAATGGATTTCGTAATTTTAACCAGTCTTGCAATTCTTTACATAATAATTTTGAACTTTCTATATTTATTATTCTGTTGCTAAATTTACGTTTTACATTACTCCATTCATGTTTTATCAGGAGATTACTCAGTCCCTCATTATTTTTTAGAACAAGATGTGCCATCGACGAAATTGCGTCCAGGTCTTTCCCTGAAAGTGCACTACGGATGATAATAAGCGCGTCGCTCAGGCTTTGATCTGGAACTTGATTAAACGATGGCATTCTAAGTTCAATGGAATCTAACTCGTGCATACTAGCTTGATTTACCATTTTAATAAATTCTATTGCAAACCGAGATCGATCAGGATAAAGTGAGTAACGGAGGGAAGTAGGCGATAGAACAGAAAAATTTGGATTATTGTTTGAAAAAAGCTGGTCAAGAATTAGAATATCAAGTTTATCTAAACACACAGCTTTAATCTCTGCAAACTGAAAAACGAATAAGAGTGGTGCTGCATGTAAATCTGGAATACCCGAATCACCAATGATCCATTCGACTTCTAAAAAGTTTTTGCTAGATGCAAAATTCGCAATTTCTTGAACTGCGTCCAGTGCAGTGTCAAGTGCATCTAATGCAATGAAAAATTTCCATTGAATATTTCCTTGGTTAGTGCATCTGATCTTTTGAAGAGTATCTATATAAGAATGTGCTAAATAAACTTTATATTTGGTTCGTAACAAAGACACTAGATCATTTAAATCAGGAAAATTTTCTATCTCAAGCGGCAATTGGATATTAAAACGTGACGCATTGAGCATATAAAAACGACTTTCAATAGGTTTACCCATGCCTACTACTGCGCTCAAAATTCCGAGGACGTGAGGAATTTCCATCTCTTTATAACGCATTATTCGGTGATCTCTAATTTCTAAGGAAAAGTTTTCTGAAATACTTGGTAAAACTATTCCAACATCGATTTTTCGCTTTTGTAGAGCATTGCAGATCCCGAACAAATGGTTAAATGCTCCGCTCGGAAAATCACCGGATAAGTTCCCACCAGTTCGCAGTAGTATCTTGATATTAGTGCCTGACCCCAACCATTCATTCAAAACGTTATAACTAGTGAAGAAGTTAATGTCGACTTCCATAATTGTCGCGTCTTTTTCATGTATACCGTTGAGTTCATGTTTTCCATATTCTACAAAAGACTCAACCTTTTCATACACCTTTAAGATGTTGAAATTGCCTGAGTTATATTCATGTATGATATCAAGAAGCTCTTCAGAATTACTTTTTGCATTCTTGTAGTTTTTCAAAGTATTACACGCTCGTTCGAAATATATCTTTGTATTTTTTCTTAGTTCCTCTTGGTATTCTAAGATTCTCATTGAAAGCATGGATTGAGGATCAGATAAAATTCTATGTAAACGATATTCAATTTTCAACACGCGATCCCTGATGTATTCATACGACTGAAAATCTTTAAGCGCCATGAGCATACCACGGAAATTTTCAAAAATATTTTCTTGCAGTTGCTTATAAAGCTTTTCTACATTCATTTCAATATATTGAGTGATTGGCACAAGCATAAATCGAATGGGTACACCAGTAATGTCCAAACCGACAAACTTGAAATGTTGTTCTCCTGAAATACAGGTTTCTTCTACATTTTCAATCAAATTGAACATCTGATTTATGGTTGTTGGTTGTTGTCTCATTTGAGGCTTGGAGTGGATTGTTATTTGCTTATCATAATTGTTGGCTTGGTCTGAGTCTAGCATTTCTAGACTAGCTTTCAAAGATGCATTCACGATGCCACAAGGAATTTTTCCAACGAAACCGCCTCTAATAGATCTACTGTTTGAAGTATCGCGTTGTCTAATCCTTATATCTGCGTTTACTTCTGCACCTAAAATTATGCCACGTACGACATGCGTTGCTTTAAGCTGTTTATCAAGAAGCCTTCTAACAACGATATCATCCATTACGTCTTTTGCTTGAGGAAGCAATTCTACTAAATAATTATCTAGATTATATTGACAAATTAACTGCTCTTCATTCGAACTTTTAGCTGACATAGCACCATAATGACCTTCTCCTTCTATACGGATAATGTCAGGTAGTAGTTCAATACCTAATAGGGCATCAATTTTGAACGCTTCAAATTTGTCCTCTGTGCATTTAACATGTGTCAAGCGGTAATCAAGTTTTTTGAGTGGACGAATAATTAAGTGGTCTTTTGTAAAATTTTCGGTGAATAAATTAAACCCGACGCGTTTGGAAAGATTGCAATCCCAAAGATCACCCAGGCCATAAACGCCATCTTGGATATATGGAAGTGAAAAGGACGAATTTTCTACAAAAATAGTTTCTTCTTCATTCATGTTTGAGTTATTGAATTAGAAGTCTTGCAGCCGGTCTTAAATTCCGTTACTCCGATATTAAATATTGCTGCACGTTTCAACAGAAGTGCTTCATCGGGAAATTTTTTTAGCTGATGACTATCAATTACTAATCAATAATCGATTGTCATCGATATGGGTGATTATAAACGATAGTCAGCATTATCGTTTTAAATCGATAAGTGTTGGATATTGCTCATCTAATAATTATAAACGATTATCATCATTTGGCTAATGAAACTTTTTTTTTTTTTAGAGCTTAATTTTAACCGGGTCAGTGATTTTAACAGTATCGGTCACGTATAATTTCAAAAGGATAGTTTTTAACATTTGTATCTTATAATATTCTTTGGGTGTTCTCAAGGTCAATCTAGATGTGATTAGCAAGTGATCGCAATGGTATGTACTCAAGCAAAATTATATTTACATAAAATTTTTATTAAGAATTCGAATATGTAATTTATGACGTAATTGAAATCTTCTCAAGCATCATCTTCGATGTGATTAATTAGTGATCGTAATGGTGCTCATTTAATAGAATCAATTGAAATAAACATTGCAATCAGTACTTGAGCGATTCTTTTATTATTCGTCAAAAATAAAAATAAAAAATGAAAAATAAAAAAGCGAAAAATAAAAAAACAAAACCAACCGTTAAACAAGAAGCAAATGCCATGAATTATTAAAAATATTCTGGCGAAGCAGCAGCCCCTGTTGCTCCATTTACTGACTCCACTAATTATTAAAAACTCTAATATCAGTTAAATATAGAAAACATCAACCCAGAATCCATTAGTTTTAGATCTTGTTTGCGTTGAGTTGTTGTATTTTAATTGACAGAGTAGTTGAATTTGTTGCCATATTGGTAAAAGCTAAAAGATGATGAATATTGGCTATTGTTTTTTGAGTCTCCTGAATTTTTTTTCATTCATAAAAACTTTAGTGTGAAAACTAAAATAATAATTTGTTGCTAAATGTGATAATGTTACTTTTGTGGTTTTTTTGAAAACTCAATTGATTGTAGAGTTTTCAAGACAAGTATAAAAAAAGGTAGTTTGTTGTAAAAAGTTTGTTGGTTTAAATAACACAAATAACTGATGCTAATATAGCTAATAACATTCACTTAATTGAACCAAGGGAGTAAGTAGTAAAGTTAGATAGTTCTGGATCAGAAAAGTAATAGCTGATTATTTCTTTGATGTATTTTTTTTGTGCTTTGGCTAATTCTTTTTCCAATAAAAGAAATTTTCTTCACATATTCATTTCAATAACACATTCATTGCAATATTTTTTATTAATAAAAATATCATATTTACGTAATAAGCTTTATCAATTTATATATATTCATCCTAATAATAAATATGTCTGACTAATTTAAACTATTTTCTGCCAATAAATTTTATTTTCTGATGCTTTTTATCCATTATTAAGGCGCTTGAGAACACTTATAGTTTGCTCTATTTGGTAATAATCAAGAAAAATTTAATATGTTGAGAATAAAAGTATAAGTAATTATTAGTTACATGATATAATTTTGACCAATCATATCAAAGGATATAGACCTGATAAAACTGATAATTTTCTTTTTGAGTATCAGTTATCGGAAATAGCAGGTTATTAGTTATTGATTATGAAACATACATAGTAGATCAATTTATTATCAGTTATTACAGGTTATCGATTTTGACAGGATCAGTTTGGGGGTTATACTGTATTGAGTTTGTGATAGTATAGGAGGTGATTGTATAGGAAGATGACTGTATACTGTATATATATATATATTATATTATATATATGTATAATATAAAATAGTTGTGGCAGAAAAAACTCACGATTAAGTAATTTTTGATTATTTTAAACCTCATTGATATAGCCAGCTATAATATCAATATTATCTGATGTATATCGATATTATTAATGTTAGTGTTGATTGGGTCATAATTATTCGATTATGAATTTTTTTTGCCAACAATTCGTGATTGGACTCGGGTCAAGTATTACTCGGGTTAACTGCGGGTAACCGGATAACCGGGTAATAACTACAGCTACTCGGGTAATTACACCCGGGTATTACCCGGGTGGATATACCCAAGTAATACCCGGGTAGACATACCTGAGTATTACTTGGGTAGATAAACCCGGGTTTACTAATTTCTCCCCACACTTCCCATTGGACGAATACAAATAACGTTTCCATTGGACGAAACCAATTACATCACTAATCAGAGTGGCTAAAAATTTCGCAATGATTACATATTGATTAAACT